TACCTAAACTGTCCGTTGTAAACTTCCATTAGTTTAGACTTCCTGCTCCAACTTTGACATGTTGTATGTGCCATGGTTGTGTGTGCACACTGTTTTCCTGTGTAATGAGGGATTACCATCATTTCAGGTGTGATCATACCTCCTAATCAGGTGGTTTAGATAATATGGCTGACTTCCTTACACCCAGTTTGATCCTTTCACTGCTTGGGTTTGTTGCCCACTGGGACTAGTATTACCTGGGGACCTCTAGTAATTTGTAATAATTTGCGGAGGTCGTCTGTGATATTAATCCCGTGCGAATCTGCCATGTCCGTAATTTGTAAAAATTCCACCACAAATTACCTACCATATTTCGCCAAACACAGAGGTCATGTGATAATATTAGTCCTGTGCGAATCTGCATTTCTGTGATTTGGGGTGATTATTATTATTATTTTTTTTAAGGTTTTTTGTGTTTTCCGTGCCTTTTTACTGCCTTTTTCCCGTTTGAGAATTATGGAGGCTGCGTTAGAGGTACAGGTAGCCCCTGTACAGGCACCGGAGCAAGAGGTCTTTGTAAATACTTTCCCAAACTGTGTGGTTGTGCACCATTTGATCAATGCGGATGTTACACATAGGTTACGCAGAGTCTTGACATCATATCCGGGGGATAATGTCAGTAAATTCGAGTTAAAACACAGACTTTGCTTATCCGGTGCGAATGCGCCGCACGAAACACAGACGTGGTGGGGTAATTACTAAATCACATGAGGTCCCCAGGTAAAACTAGTCCCGTGCGAATAGGGCTACAGTGCAGCCCAATTGAAGCAATTACTATATAGTGGCAATACTATCATAACCAATAGAAATAAAGGCCAAAGCTGCTAAAATAATAACAAGAATTTTAAATGAAGTTTGTCCAACATCTGTGGTTAGGTGAGAGCTTTTAGAAACAGTGACTGCTGCTTCATTTTAACCACAAGATTATAAGACTGAGATAATATCATTACATTCATTTGGCTGATGGTTTTTATCACAGCAACTTACAATAAATGCATTCTACCTCAGTGGGGAAAAAAGAGAACTATGACAGAGATTTAATTGAAAAGGAATTTAATGTTAAAAATGATAAAGTGATTAACTATTTACTTTATGCTTTAGACTGTACTGCTGTTGGATTTAGTGGCCCAGTGTGAGTGGCAGCCTTTTTAGCTCCACAAATGCCTGGCTGTGCCCCAGTGTGGAGTTGGGAGGGTTGGTGATTATGTTTGGTGTGACTCCATGTACCCTTAAACACACACACACACACACACACACACACACACACACACACACACACACACACACACACACTTACCGACCCCATAGCCAGGCAGGGGGCTTCAGTGGGTCGCTGACCCCTGGCATGGGGCCTGGTTACTGGGAGAGAGGGGTCGATAGGCCTGGTTGTGTGGTGGAGAGGGGGTCAATAAGGGTGAAAGACAGAGAAAATGTGATTTTCATTTGCCTTATTGTTGTATTTTACCTATTCTCTATAAGTGCATTGAAGATTTCCTACTTTGTCACAGTTTAATCATTGTATCATTTGTTTGTAGTCTTATTGTTAATAATGTCAGTTTGTCATTTAGTTTTTTGCAGCTGTCATCCATTCATGCAAATTGGGCAAAACTGAATTGGGTTGAGATTAAAAAGAGACTGCACTCTCGATAATAACCTTTTACATGAACCATAACAAGGATTATTGTAAAATCTGTTTACATTACTTGATATTTCTCAAAATACACATTTTGGGAGGCTGTTCAGACTGTTTCAAAGCATCAACCAGCCTCTTTCTATGCACTGCCACCTTTTGTTGATGATTTCCCACTTTTTTTTTTGCCAATATTATCATACTTCCATTGATGCCAATGAAGCTGATCTGATGAGAGAGAGAGAAAGAAAGAGAGAGAGGGAGGGAGAGAGAGGCCAAGGCAGACTGGAGTGCGTAATGGGGAAGCATTGATTATGGCTGTTAACTCTGGCTCTTTGATGTGGATAATGCAGTCTCTCTCTTCCTGCCTCTGCACTGCCTTTACACTCTAAAACCCCCGGGCCTCAGAGGATATTGGGTTTACAGACAGATAGAGTGAGAGTGTATACATCAGACGTGGTGCATAAGCTTGAATGTGAGAGAAATAAGTTTTATATGGTGGAGAGAGAGATAGAAAGAAGGCATGTGTGTAAGAGATTATTATACCCCTGTGAAAAAGACATAAATGTGCACACAGGGGAAAAAAATGTGTTTGCTGAATAAAAGTTTGTGTGAGAAGGTTCAGACGATGTAGATAAAGTTGGAGATTGTCCTCCCAAGAAAAACAACAGCATCAGTCATTTCAGCAAATGCCCAAAGACGACACATGTTAACGCTCAAGTGACAAACATGTCTAGCTGCTGGAGGAATTTGGATATTTGTCCATTGGGAGCAAAGGAGGAAGTAGTCTGACGTTATTATAGAGCCACAAGGTCCTCAGAGAGAGAAGAGGTCAGGGTGGATGGATGGGTCAACGACTGTTCCAACCGACAGTCGTTGTAATTTTCTTTTAACCGTGACCATGAATGTCCAATAATCTTAAAATCCTATAAGTGTTATATACTATTAATATTACATACTGACAATGTATCAGTGACTGTGTGCATGTGCAAGATGTCGAGTTGTCCACTGGCTGCTCTGCTTCGACTTTAAGTGATTTACTGTTTCCTGATGGAAATAACTGTAGCTACTTGTGTTAGCAGTTAGCTACTTTAGCTGCTAACTAGCTGCTGCTGTAAGCTGGTTGGCAATCCAGCTAACTTAGCAGTGTTGGTGTTTATTGTTGCAACTCTATACAGGAGCTCTGGACTGCCGGGAGCACCGGTGCATGAGCTTCTAGTCTGTTAGCAGTTAGCAGCAGCTAGTTGGAAAGGGAAATGTTGCATTCAGGACGGTCTGAATTCTGAGCTTTTTGCTCAAAGAATTACTTATACATATGTTTATCTGATTATTTGACACTTTGGCCTTGTTTAATATCAACACCCAACATAACATGATATAACAACAGAAATGGAAAAGCATAATAGGTCCCCTTTTAAGAGATGATAATATGTCAGTGTCAGGTTCAGCCAGAGATTTCTCCTGCACTGGTACAGCGCTTAAAAAACATGTGAAAATATGTCTGGCTACTAATTCACTCTCAATGTCACACTAATATTTGCAAGCACCACCATGCCAGACCGATGCATCTTTAGATCAAGTCCTACACATTTAATCCACAAAAAAAAGCACAACAGGCAGAAACATTTCTGCTTCACAACTCAATCTACTATTACTGCACTTTACATTATTAAAGACAATGGAAAACATATCATGATTTAATCCAGGTTTAAATAACTTCATACATGTTTTTTTTTTTGTTCAGTGTAACGCCTTATATTTAATTCATGAGGCCTACATAGAATGGGCTGCATAATCGATTCAGTCAAGAAATGTGTCAGTGAGGAGAGAGGAAACATGCAGAATGATTTCAACTATACCATGAACTTAGTCCCAGTAACAGTTGTAATGGACTTTATCAGTCCATCCTATGGCCATTTTGAAAAACTCAAGAGGAAACATAAAAACATGGTTAGAAAAAAATATTACAGAAAATTAAAAGCACAATATTTTCAGAAGGAATGATCAGTTATGATGCTAAAGCTGTTGTCCCTGTCAGTGTGTGTCCCTTATTATCTTTCTATTTGTGGAATACATTAGACAGTCTCTGAGTACCAAGAAATCATTTGTGGAGTCCAAAATGGCTTACGTTTCTTTTGGATACCTTTTTACTATTTACTGCTATTTTAATGCTTTGAAGACTGTTTTTCCCTTTCAAATACACTTTTTGCTTCAAAGTTGATATTTGGACTCCTCCAAACAGAATATTATCTGGGGAGGAATTTTGGGGTTTCTGTAATTTGGGATATTTCCCCAAAACAGACAATTCTCATGTTGTCTTTTCTCGAATCTAAAATCAGATCATTTGTTCAGTCTCCATAATCAGTTACAGCAGCTAATTAGTGACGGTCACTGTAATCCTTCTGCATGTAACCTGTTACTTTTCGGGCCTGGTTGTGTGTCAGGCTAGTCATGGCCCTTTGCAGTGCTCTCTGGTGGTTTTGCTTTCTCTGTGGCCATGTGGGCTTTGAGAACAGTGACTGAAGTCAAAATGGTTGACAAGCAGCCAACTGAGCCAAGCCCTACAGAGCTGCGATGACCTCATTCTCTGTCTCTCTGCTCCATCAGCTCCACTCATTGACCCCGAGTGAGGAGAGAGCTGCTGAGGGGAGCTGGCTCCCTCTGCTGGAGACACTTTGAATAATTATTTTATCCACAATCCCAGGAACTTGCATAGGAATACTGCAGAAATACTATTTTGGGCCACTTGGGGGCAGCAGAAACAAGCTATGGACACAACATTGACATATTATCACCTTTTACGCTTCTATGTCAAGTGTGTTGGCAAATAGTTGCTGATCTACACATACAGCAGTTAAGCACCATCATGAGTCCATCTCATTAATGTAATTCCAATATTCACACTCTTTTAGCTCTGTTTTTAGTCCCTACCAACTTCTGAAGGAAATCTGGGTCTTCACCTGACAAATGCTAAGTTCAACCAGCTAGTTGCTAACTATGCCTGTCTTCTGTTTGGTGCTGTGCAGGTAGAGCTACTAGAGCAAACAAAAAAAAAGTAAAGTTGTGGCCGGACCGCTGAACAATGAGTTAAACTTGCTATATAGCAGCATAGAACGGAGGGGACCTACGACTACATTTCATGGTCGACGGTTTGAACTTACATTATTGTGTAACATAAAGAAGAAATAGACACAGAAAATAAGACAGGAAGCGCACATACAGATAAAAAGAGAGACAGTGAGTGAAAGACGAAGGTAAAGAAGGAGAGAGGTTTTAGTCCTGTGTAATGATTTTGGGTGAACTGGCCCCTTAACACAACCATACGCGATGATGTTGATCGAGCAGTTTTTATCACGCTTTAAAACACAAAACAAGTGCACTTTTGCAAAGATACATTATTGATTTTAATCACAATCTATCACAGCTGAAACATTTCTCATTGGAGAGGACTGAGGCAGTGTAGCCAGGCTAGCAGCCCAAATCCTCTTGAACTGGAGAATAAAGAAAATAGTTTGCTTACGAAAATATATTTAGACACATCTATTTGAAGATTAGCTACAACCAGTTAATTTAGCACAGCATACAATTTATTCTCTGCTGGCAAAGAAAGGCAGGATTTGGTCTCCTCACAGATTACCCAGATAGCAAGCAAATTTGAAGGCCTTTCTTTAGGCAACCAAAGAGCCACTATTGGTCCGATGCTGCCAAAGCTGTTTGAAAATGATCACAGTCGTCAGATTTTGACCAACTGACCAGATAATGATATCCTGTCATCTAAACAGCAACGTCGGCCTAACATTGGCTTGCCAACAAGCTAACTCAATAAGACACTTGAGGTCCCATGAACATATTTTTACAGGCTTCCTACAGAAGTTCGACTTTGTGTCCACTGGGTAGCTTTTTTTCTGTTAGCAGTGTTAATCAAGCATCTAGAGGGAATGTCGGTGCAGTATGGCTAAAACTTTTTTCACGTTTTACACATTTTAAACTACTCTAGTAGCAAGGAATTTGTGCTGCAGCCTGTCAAGTCACAGTACATGTCTATGTCAAATTAAGTGACAACTTAAAACTCAACCTGACGCACTAAATCATGCAGGAGCTTCTAGAATTATGCATGAAGACTTATTATTATTATTATTATTATTATTATTACACAAATGAGAATCAGTCATCAAGGTCAGGCTGAATATCAGAAATAGCAAAAAACAAACGGTCAGTTCAATATATACAAAAAGCTCTCAGTAGGCATTATGAAATATACAGTATATAGGTAATAACAGGGCTTTTAATTTGTTAACAGAAAATAAATAGACTCTGAATGTCTATATTCAAAGGAAATCTGAGAGACAACTGATGTCACTTAGGTTGCCTGTGTAAGTTACATCTGTTTATTGCTCTTAATACGCGTCCTGTACAAATGCAACTACTATAATATCTTTACTACTTCATCATGTGTATAATGTGGTCGTTTTACTGGCAGCAGGAAAGTGAAAACAGCTGTCAACGTTCAATAGTTGAAGGTTTTTTTTTTTGTTCCAAATATAAATAACCCACCTCAGTGTAAAGGCGAGATTCAGTGTGAAGGGTTCTGTCAGCTTTCTACCCTGAACTGCAATCATGCTGCGTATCAGTGAAACAGACTGCAGCACCTTAAAGACGAGCACCCAGTGGACACGAAGCCATCAACATGCTTCCTTGTGTAAAAAGCTTGAACAGAGCCAGGAAAACTCAGTAAACGATTTACATAATATTGTGCTTTAAAATGTTCTTCCACCATCTTAAGACCCCCATAAAATCATGCTCCAGTTCCATACATCCAGCCATCCAACCCTAAAGCTCAACCCCCACCCCCACCCACCCTTTGCAATGCATCACACCCATGGGAGGGAGTGCAAGCTTGCACTTCTTCTCATGGATGTGAGACATTGCACAGTCCCAACCCAGATCCCACTTTTACAACCAGATGAAAGCTACATGTGAACAGCACATACCCATGCACCTCAGAGGCTAACAAGACCTCAAAAAAAAAAAAGAAAACACAATAACACAGTGGGCACATAAAAACAAAAGTAAACCAAACTACCCAATCTGAACATTTTTTAAATGTTCATCAGAACTGTAACGCAGGAGGGCTGCTCTACAGTTACATCAGAAAAAAACATTCACTGAGCGTGCCCATCTTACAAATATATCTTTATATATATAACTATTTACATGCAGAGTAGCAATCATAGTAACACATCCACTTCCTCGTCCCCTGGGCTAGCACAGGTGTGGTGGCTTTGAGGAGGATCTCATGCTACATGCTAGATGGCACCAGGTTTCTTTGAACGTGCATTAGTGACAACTGGAAGCTGAGACGGCACTCTTTTGGTAAGTTTGGTAGCATTTGGTTCCACGTGAGCAAGAGATCAACTGAGGAAACTGAACAGTCCTGATTAATAAATGGAACAAAATGCTTAAGATCTTTCTGTCTTTTGACCACAACTTCTCCACAGTGTGGAATTGTAATTGATCAGATAATGACAAATTCATAACTTTACATTTATAGGTCAGCCTGAGTATCGACCAACGTGCCTGTAGTACCATATGTCAACAGCTGTCAAATAGTGAATGTTAACATTGAAAGCTTACTCAAATGTGGAATCTTGTTGATTTATTCTTTAATATTTGAATATTTGAATACTGTCAAATGGAGGGGAACTAAGGTATTGAGAATGGTTTGGTACCAAAACTCAGGCACTGAATTGGAACTACTATTGTTAAGTGATACAAGCCCTATTTATTCCCTGCCATAGAGCGTGTACAGCCCCTACCCTGTGTGACATCTTGCTGTGAACTATTCATGCTGAAAGGGAGGACAACTGAGGGAACTACAGAATATATTACTCTTTGTTTCACAAACTGAAACTCATGGTGTATCCCAAATCCATTCATGCAATATCTTTAGCATGTACTACATACTAATCCTTATACTATACTGTTTTAGCAGTTAGTATAAAGAAATAAACATACTTTACCATTATTGTGCAATGTTGGATGGAATATCACTGCCAAATAAACTCTTTAATAATAAAAATAAAACTATTTTCTTTGTGCATGGTGACAGCATGCTCAAATTGTACACTGTATTTAGTATGCACACTCTCTGGTTTGAGTACGCTAAACTTTGTCATTTACAGTACACCATGGATGCATATTCAAAATCTGCTTAGAATTAGTATGCAGTATGGAATTGGGACATCCCATCAGTTTGTTCACTTTGTTCTGCAGCGATCTCTCATTCTCGCATTTCGGGGATCAGCCCCTTTGATTCAAGGGAAGGCGACATCCACATGGAGCTGGATGCAGCCTTACTGTAATCTATAAGCTCACCTGCCAAGTAGGGATGGGACAAACAATCGATACAGCAATATATCACAATACTATCTCCTGTGATACTGAGACAGAGCTGCAACTTTCTTTTACTCCAGAATGTTTAGCTCTGAACTGTTCTGATTTCTGGCAATTTGGCCTTTTGCAGTTAGCTAGGAAACAGAAAAATAATAGACTTTTCGCATATATTTAGCAATTTTAGTTTTTTTCTTCAGTTGCATACTTAATCACAGATGACTGTCTTGCAGTATATGACAAAATCACATGTTCAGTGATTCGATTCTGTGCAATGTATCGTGATTTCCCAACCCTACTGCAGAGTGCTAACTTAGTATTTACCTGGTCAAAATAGTCAACTTAACATTCTCCATCAAAAGGCCATGTTTCAATGTTAATGTAGGAATCAGACCGAGACATTAAAAGTTAAATTTAGAAATGTTAGCAAAGAGCTTTATTTTAAAACAACCTCATACACATTTATTTTTATTTTATTATTTCTCACATGACTACTGCAGGCAGTATGGAGAGCAGCCAATCAAAGGCCAGTTCTTTTCAACCTTGAAACTTTACTTAGTCAAGCTCACTTGTTACTTCTCTGTGCGAACCAAATAGTACATCATCTCAGCTCAGATTTTTTAATAAAACAGCCCACTGTTCAGCTCAAATCTCGCCCAGTTCCCAGTTGTCATGATCGCTTCATTACTGCCACCTTAATCCATTGCACAACCAACAGGCTGTAGCATTTTCTGAGAAGATTTGGTCTTTGATTATTTGTTCCCTTGTCAAAAAAAGCCCAAATAAAACAGTCACCCCAGACAAGCTCAATTTGGTCAAACCCAAGATCTGAACCACTGATCCAAAATTTAGGTGGGGGGGAGAGGGGGATTTCAACCACCACCAACCCTGGGAGCCCTGAGGATGAGGGAGGGCGGGGCGGGGGGGGGGGGGGGGGGGGGGGAGGGGTTGACGTCTGGGTCTTCTTGTCGTTCAATCATTCCTGTCGGAGAGAAGCAGTGTGTCTTTAAGGGGTAGTAATGATTTCCTGTTTCGAAATAAACAAAACACAGGTGCAGTCAGTACATTTTGTACAAATGTTTAGTCAGCTTTAAAAAGTGAAAAAAAATGAAGGCAGACAAGTTTTTGTATTACAGTCTTAAGTTTTGGCCATCATTCTATGTTTGTTCACTGAAATGCAGAGAAAACCAAGGTGACAGTTACTTTAAGGGCAACTTCGTGGTTAAACGTTTACCTACAGTACTCACCGTAGTTGTGCACAGTTTTGGGACAGTTTGCTTTTCCTCGTTTTCACTTTCAAATAAACAATTTGGATAACTTGGCTTAATGCTGTGTTCACATCATACGGGATAACAACTTGTAAGCGTTCACGTCATCAGGATATTTGAATGATTAGAGTTAGTTGTTTGAGGATTAATAAAATCTTCCATGACAGCATGACACAGGTGAACTTGGTTGCTGCTGGTTTGTTTGGACCTTTTTTAAGTGTACAGTCAAATATATCAGAGCTTTCAGAGTTTCCAATTGTAATTACAATAATAATAAGTCAGAACATCATAATTATGATAACTCCGATTTGATATGAACGCGGCATGAGCCTCAATGTTAGTTATTTGAAAATGTGACTTTAGCCACTCCTTGTATTAGTATTTAAAAAAAAATAGAATCTGGCAGACAGTGCAAACTAAAGTGAATTAACAAAACAATCTACACATGCATCACTTCAGATGATTGCCAGCAGCATACTCTTTAGTAGAAAATAATTTACATTTGAATGCACCTTAAGCAGTTTGGCATGATACATAGCCCTTGTGCTGCATTCATGACACATAGGAAATGGGAAAACTCTATGTCAAGTGGTATTTTAAGTGGGATTTAAAAAGTATGTCAATGTTTTGTTTTTGTTTGTTTTTTTTTTGGCTGATCTTACACATAAGATTAGGTTACAAAAAAGATCACAGTGCTGTAGTGCAGTTTAATAAGCCAGTTTATATTGGACTTTATGTTCTGTATATGCAGTGTAACACAGACACTCCTAAGCTCTGAATAAAGTCAGCTGAGTTAGAATTATTATTATGTCAAAGACCAATTTACATTTCTAACTTTTCATCCCAACCAGAATGTCTGGTGCAATAGAGAACAAGTGTACAAGCAAATTCATGTCAAATATTTTTTATAGCTAATTGTGAATCACCTGATGCAGAACACCGATTTAAGAGTATTGAATACCTGCAGCAGCACCTTTTTACCACAAGGTGGCACCATTTCATCTGATTACAGATCACCCCTTACCGTACTTACCAATAAACAACAGTCCTATTAAAGCTTTGAGATCACGAAGCATGGCACATGCATCACTATATTGGATATTTAGCCATTAGCTAGATAGAAAATTGCTTTTGATGACACAAATGTGTTCAGTAGTTCAATGGTAAAAAAGACAAACAATGAAGCAAAAAGACATCAGCCTTTTTGTCACATAGGACAACATTTGCTAATGTCACATCTCATATAATTCATTAAATTTTGCAAAATCAACTTTTTTTTAGAGTATTGTATGTTATGTAGTGCTAGAAATCCCTCACCCTCACCATGACCTCTGGACTTTCATTAAGTCGGTGTTGAATGTGGTGCGACTTGGTGAAAGTCGTCTGTCGTGCCAGTCAGCAGGGACAGAATTTAGCATGGCGCCTCAGTGCCAGCAGGTTTCTCAGAATTATTCTGCTCATCATCATATGACAAACACACGCCTCTGTCACACAGCAGCGTTGCTCAATGTCTGCTGTTTCATTGCATCAAACATGATTAAAGAGAGACTCCTGACACCAAACTCCTCCATCAGTCTGCTGCTGGTGGCTAATATTTTACCATGCAGTGCGCTGAGCAATACTGGTTTCCCTATATTATTCTATTTGGTCGTCTACTTCAATTATCTCTTCTTTTCCTCCTCTCTCTCTTTTTACCTGTTTAATCATCTCTCCAGTTCTCTCGATGACGATGGTCTTGGCTTCTTTGACGGGCGAGGTGGCCTGGTAGTCATCGCTCAGCAGACCGAGGAGAGGGTACTGGTTCCTGTACCTACACATACACACAGTGACACATATTGACATATGTTATGGCTTGAACAGACAGTTTTAAGTTTTCAGTCTAAGATATCAATTTGTTTTTTTAACAGACTGGGGCGGACCTTTTTTGTATTAACCTCCTGTACTGTTAAATTAGATATTTCTACCTCTCTAGTTTAACTTTTTTTCTTTTAACTATCAAATACTCACTAACAGGTTTTCTCTTTTGTGTAGTCAGCTCGCATTCACAGCAGTCAAATGGACCAAAAGTAATGTTGAAAACGTGTTAAGACGTATCCACTCGAGCTGCATAATCCACTTTCCCGTTGAGTCGCATTGGTCAGTGTTTCAAACAATTGTTGCTTCGCTGATTTCTCATTAAAGCTGCTACTTCCAGCAGAGCTTCGGGGCTATGAGGAGGCGATAGTGCCTTAAGGAAGTCTGCATTTTAAACTGGAAAGAGTTTTAGTTTTTAATAACTAACATTGTGTGTGTAATCTGTGTGTAGTTTGCTGTGATGTTTTACCTCTTGGTGATGATGGTCTTGGTGACGTTCTTGGAGCTGTCGTTCCTCTCATGCATCAGCTTCCTGATCTCCTGAGGGCCACGAAAGGTCAAAGGTCGGTGGTCAGCAAGCTAAGAAACTTAGCAACAGGTACTGTGTGCTTACAGGCCAGTGTTCCACATAAATACAGTAGGTGCTTTATGCTGAAGTTCACTAAAATAATATATCTGTATTCATACCTTTTTGTTATTTTGTTTTTTATTACCCAATTGGGTCTCATTTTCTTCTATAGTTAAATTGGAAAAGGAGTTCTGTAGTTGATTTTCTTATTCTCTCATCTGCTTCTCTTCTTCAGTTTCTTTATTTCATTTAAATGCAAATGAACTTAAACCAAAACTGGCTGCAGCTCTTTGTGTGTTTGTGTGAGCAACTATAACAAAGGAAGGTCAGGCCAGCAGCACTCACATTCCTATGGTTAAATTTAACTGACAGCCCGCTTCAGTCGGTGCTGCACGAAAACAAGAATGCAATAAGACCTGAAAGGTGAAAACTAATGAGTGTAATGAAGGAACATATCAGGTCACAAGACTGAGAGTGTGTGTGTGTGTGTGTGTGTGTGTGTGTGTGTGTGTGTGTGTGTGTGTGTGTGAGAGAGAGTTTCAATGTAAACAGTTCAGTGTTCTGTAATAAAAACTTGCTGGCCTGGTTTTCATGATTTCTGTAACATTCCAGGTAAGTCCCGCGCTTTATTTCTGCACCACCAAACACACACACACACACACATATACACACACACACACTCCTTTTGTTTGTTCAGAGTGTAGCACCTGTGTTAACCTGTTATCACGTGATAACACCTGATTTGCATTTTAGCATCCAGAACATGTAAAAACACTGCTGTGGTTCTTTAAGGCGGCCTTGTTTTTGATTTAAGTCTTCCTCTGTAATTATAAAATACATAAACAGACGTTGGGCTTATATTTTGTTAAAAATTGTTAGAATTAAGCTTTTTTTAAAAGCATGCAATTTTGAACAGACTGGAGCTGATCCCGGTCCCCTAACTTTGAAAAAAAAACAAAACAGATATCTGTCCAGTTTGGTTACATGACCATGCAGAAAAAAGTTTGTCTCACTGGAACTACAGGAGTTGATGATGTCAGTCAGTCCTCACGATACAGGACAGATTAATCATTTTAGTTGAAAGTACATTTATTCAATTGGGGTGTTACACTACAGACCTCCTCCTGTCGGGTGATGATGGTCTGCCGCTGCTCCAACATGGCGATCAGCTCTGAGATCTTCAGCTGGAGACTCTTCTCTGAGGACGACTTGGTGGTGGTGGTGGTGCTAATCTCTGTCTGGATCTTTGTTATCTGGGACTGGAGGAAGGACGGAGGGAGAAGAGGGACAAAAGGACAAAGTATTTTACATTAAAGCTCTTTTACAAGACCTGTTCTGCAAGAGGTTATAGCTTTTGTCTTTTTTGTCCTGAGGACATTTTTTGGGGGGGACTTTTTGTGATTGTAATTTGAGGCTATATATTGTACATATATAAATCTGACTTCACTGAACATGCAGAGGGCTTTACAATCTGTGCAACAATCAAAACAACTCTTTTGCAGTGCACCATTCAATAAACATTCAGCAGTCTTCATAAGGGTGTTACCAAAATAATGGTGGTAGGATCTGCTAATAACTGAGCTACGAATAACTAAGGTTGATGGGAATGTCCTTACTGCTGCAGGGGTTTGGCAATACATTGAAATATTGCTCAAATGAATGTTAATTAACGCTGCCAGCAGTGTGGTTTTATTCTCACCCGCAGCCTCTGGATCTCCTCATCTTTTTCTCTTTTCATGGAGCTGAGCTGGTCCTTGTACTGACGGGACAACTCCTCTGTCTTGATATGCAGGGTGGTGCTGTTGCCTTGGCCGGCCAGCTGAGGAATGAAGGAAAGAAGATTTTCATACTATTTGAACAGTTTGCATTAAACCTGTACCAGTAATCATATGTACTGCTAATGCTTCTTTCTTTATTGAAAGTTAGGTCGAGTTTGCACATGAAAGACCAATTATTTCTTTTTGATTATTGACTTTAAAACATCATGACAAACATGCAAGAGTTTTTGTTTGAATCCTCATTTGGATTGATTTATGTCATCAAAATGGCTTGTAACTGTAACATTGATCAAAAAGCCAAACGGTTTTAACTGCAGGCTACCTGCACCTGCACCTTGTTTCCAAACCCATGATCAACATATATATTTTTTTTGGTCTAAGCATGAATCCTCACAACTGCGTAATCAAACACGTTAACTACAAGTGATCTGTCCATGAATAACTTTTAGGTGGCGTGTTACTTTCTGTCGGAGCATTTCGTTCTCCTTCTCCAGCGCTCTCATCCTCCCCTCCAGCTCTTTAACCTTGAACTCGCGGCTCGAGTCGTTGTTTCGGGTGCTCATGAGCTGGCTCTCCAGGGAGCGCTGGGAGGCGCTGGTTTCCTTTAGAGACAGCTGGAGAGGGACGACACAGACACAGAGAGTCAGAAATGCACACAGACACACACAGATTCACAAATCAGCAATGGGAGAGGCTGATCTGTGTAATACGTCACCCCAAACACAACTACCCAGAGCCTGAGGTGACTTTTTTAAATGTCTCGTTTTGTCTTACAAAAGTCCAAAAGTTATTTAGTCTACTATGAAATATGACAATATCTATACATTCTAGTCTATTGTAGAACAGATCATTAATTTGAGAGAAAACAAACACACGTATAGGTGTACTGTACCTGGAGCTGTCTGTTGTTTTCTCGGACGGCCTCCAGGAGGCAGTCATACTGCCGAGCCTGGTCTGCTTTGAAACTCAGATCTCTCTCCAACGCCTCCTTCTCGCTCTCCAGGCGCTGTGAGCACAGACAGTCATACCTTCATGTTAACGGCACTAAGTTGGTTAATAAGTGGATCAATCACATTTTGTTTAATTGTTGATTGCTGCACTTTCTGAATTTGGATTGGATAGCTACGTTTTAGTTTCTTTTTGTTGTAAAAGATGCTAATTGTTTCTGTTCAGGAATGTAAGCGCACAATAGAACTGACTCCACCAAACTGTTCTAACACTGGCAATGATAAGCTGTTATTATGTGGCCTGAAGCCTGTACATGTCTGGTGTAATATAAAGCATTTAATTAGCTTGCACTGAGAATGTGAAGCGCTCATATAATGGGTTCGGCAGGCCGTGGGGACATACCGTTCTGGATCTTGATGCAAATGTTTTATTTATGTAACACAACTTCCTGATGCATTTGGTTGTTGGTGTTCAGATGCATTAAAGAAGGCAGGAACGGAGAATATCTTGCTTTCAATGTGCTTTAAAAATATCACTTGTGCTAAATTTTCCATCTCATTATTCAAAATATAAACTTGGAATGAGTCTTTTGTAACTGTGCAGAAATCACGCCTTGGTACTGATATCAGAATTCTAGGATCAACACTAAGTTTAATATATAAATATCTGGTGGCAAACAATTAAGTACATTTATAGAATAGTACTCAAGTACTGCAATTATGTTGTGTGAGGTAGTTGTACTTTATTTAACTATTTCCATTTTATGTTACTTTGTATTTCTAGTCCTTTACAACGCATTCTGACTTTATAATTGCACACCATATATTGTACAGCTATAGTTATTAGTTACTTTGCAGATAAGGAATTTCAAAATATACAACTTACCTATTTCTTATGCAGTAACTGAAATCTCCCTCCAGAATATTCATGCACTAGTAACAGTAATCTAGTAAGATACTTTACAAACATTTTGCTGAAGAAACTGCAGATTTTATTACTTTTGCTTGAGTAACTAAAGAACCACTATGTTTTTTTCTTTTATTTAAATTTATCTTTGTGGTATTTCTATCCAGGAATTTAGTCGTGTCACTTGTCATGTAATTTATCAGCCAGGTTAGGATGATCTGATTGCTCCTAAACGTTTTGTTAGTTTTCCACAGCCACCATGGAGTCAAGCTAGAGGCTATGGCTTCTTTTTAAGTTACAATTATAGTTAAGGTTGAAAGAGTTAGCTGTTGGTTCACACAGAGCTGCACGTTGAGTTGTAATCGTCCCGATTTACATTCAAAGCGGATATTTAACTTCATGTTGGAGGGTGCAGCGTTGAAATATAAAAAGAAAAAGTTATGATGACAAAACTAGACTCAACCAAACTCCTTCAACATCACTTCACATAGGAACGTTTCTCTTTCCAGGTGGTGGCAGCTCTTACCCGCAGGTCCTCAGACATGTGGAGGAGCTCCTCTCTCAGACTGCTGAAGGTGGACAGCAGTAGACGCATGCTCTTATCTGCAGTGAGACGAGTCTGACACAGAAAGGGAATGAACACATTAACAACCTGCAGTCAGATACCAAATCTCTGAGAAATAATATCGTAGTCATGTTGTTTTTAGAGTCATAAATAAATAAATGTTAATGCTTCATTTTAACCGCCTCTCTCTATTTAGCTTTTACAAACAGTGTATAAGCAATAAGTATTCAGTGGGTCATGATGAAAGCAAATATAAGAAATGGTTTTATGGTTTTCAAATCTAACTATAACTCCTCCAATTAAGCATCATTACTGGTCTATAAACAGTTGAATGTAATAATGTAATCATAGCTAATAATACTATAGATGGCAAAATCTGTGTGAATTATGTGTATAAACAGTTAATAAATGGCTTTGTAAAGTGTTTGTCCATGTCTGTAATTACATATTATTATATATGAACACAGCTATGTCATACTGTATTATCAGGCATCAATTAGTGTTTATAAAGCGGTTATGAGTGATGACAATGAAAGAGCAATGAAAGAGAATGACGCTAAATGGGAAAAATACAAATGTAAAAATGCAGACATAAATAAATGTGTATATAGAATGTTGTATTATTGTCAATGGGGAACTGTGTCGTAATTAAACAATATTTAATTTAATGATGTTTTATGAGAAAGAAGATCAAAATCTCTCACTCACCTGCAGCAGGTAGCGGATTTGTTGTTTGGTCAGTTCAGTGGCTCCTTTGGGAAGCAAAGCCTCCACCTCCTCTCTCTCCACCTGAACACATACACAGACACAAAGAAACAAATGAATGCAAAAGCCCCGTGGACATAATAAGATGATTCCCTCCGATTTGTATTTCTGTCATTTGTCAAGAACAAGTGCAGACAAAGAAAAAGTACTGGCTGCATCATTGGTCATTTTATATGAATTCTTCTTGCATTCTTCATAAGGTATCACTTTACACTGAGGCTCTAAGTTGACTTCAAACACAGATGAAGTTGTGTCTGCTGCGCTCAGTTCAGATTTATTTATCAGATATGTGTGATGCTGGTTTGTTTCTCACCTTGTAGTCATTGCTGGGATCCAGCTGGTGTTTCCTGTAACACACAGAGAGGAAAGACAAACAATGAGGACGGCAGCATGACTGGAAGAGGTCTGCGTGAATCACTGATTGTATCTCACATTGCCTCACACTTCTTACTTTAAATCAGTGGTTCACGCCCCACACTGGACAATTTTTAGCAATAATCAACAACGATTGGGAAACTAAAACTAAGGGAAAAAAAGGATCTAAGTTGAATTTTAGGGAAATAAAAGTCCCCACAACAGTGTCAGCAAACCACAGTTTGAGAACCACTGCTCTAAGTCAACAGGGTTTTAACCAGACATGAGAAGAGGTGTTCTATGTATTCATCACATTGTGATAAATAGACAGATATTCTTATATTTGAGTTGTTCTCTATTTCTCTTGGGGTAATTTTTTTTTCCGTAGTCAGTCTCTCAGTACGGAAAGACAGACATTTTTAAAATGAGTGCAAATATGTAGCTTCATTTTCATAAAAATGCTGAGTAATGTTTTTTTTAATTTCACTATTATTGAATTGACTAAAAGTTAGCCCAATGATAGAATGTGTAAGAATGAGTACAGTACGACACTCTCCACTGTTAAGCTGCCAATCTACAGTATGCAGTTATGGAAAAACAAAATCTTATCAGACAGGGATCCCTGATGGGATTTGTCGGCCTTAAGAACAAATATCACTAGATTTAAACTTTTTAACAGCCAATACAACGGCGACACAGTTTTTTTGTTGTACAGTGATTTAGAACCTCACATGTCGTAGACGGTTGACAGAAACATACACACACACACACACACACACACACACACACACAAACACACACACACATGAATCACCTGGGTGGTAGCTCGGTGGACAAAAACCCTCACTGTCACAACCTGCAGTGCTGAGTTGTATCTCGCCGTCATTGGCTGCAACAGACCACCTGATCTACAGCTCATTTCATCATCCCTTTTTCCCACCAAGGTTTCCTGTAACTACCCGCCTAATGCAGTACTTTCAGGTGACGTAACCGGTGTTCAAAGGCAGTAACCGTGGATGGATGAATACCAAAACTACTACTAATACTACTTTTCAATACGACTGTACATGATGGTTCATGGCGCGCCTGCAGGAGAAGGAAAACATAAACTAAAGAAACTACATGGAACCGACCGAAACTCGTCTTGTTGCACCTGTTAGAGCATGCCGCTCATGGTACTAATCCAAGCCACCAAACCCAGCGTCTATCACCATGACAACATCCCATGGCATCTAGCAAACTATATGCCAGAATGATTTCATCACATAAAAGCCTGTTATTCTGTTATGATATATGTCTGTGGCCGGTTTCATCTAATGTTTGTTTCTAAGAGGATCAGCGCCTTATGTTTGAGAGTCAGTTTAACAGTGTTTAATGTCTGAGTCTTAACATAATGCAATTAGCTGCCAGGTTATTTACACACTTAAAACTAATGCAGTTTAATACAACAGCCCCGTTTTAGTGTTCATTCAGTGTTATGGTAATTTTGGCAGCTACAGTTTTAGCGCTGTTCAATTAACAGTGTTTCCAATGTTGTTGTGTTGTCGTGAGATGCACAAGATTTAAAAGTAGTAAAAGCAGTTGTGCTTGTGCTATATTATTTCTCATCATGTTTTGTCCATTCATTTTAATGCTGGGAATAATTAGGGTGTGTCTTTTGGCAAAATTTAACATTTAACACCAGAGTAAACAAATGCAAGCAGTATGTGTTCATCTCACTAGACCTGATCAGTTAATTAGGCATGAAATTCAGCAAATGAGAATAGGAAAAGAGAATATAACAATTTAAGTACAGTATCCCACTCAATATCTGCAGTCTCGATCTCAAGATAGATATTGTATTGATCTATTGACTGGCTTTGCAGTCCTCTTGATTTTGTTTTTTTGTGTTTTGTTGTTTTATAGTAAATCTTTATATTTATACTCTGTGGCAAAAAAATGCTACTAGAACAACAATCCATACACCCATAGAATAAGGAAAATGGAGGAAAAAAATGAACTGTGACTCTAAACATCCTCCTCTGGACTTTGTGGTGGTGGTAGTCGACCCCAGATACACGCATGATGTCTGAAAGTATGAAGCTATTTGTCTTTCTATGATCATTTTGCATGGACTGGGACATAATTAGTCCATATAATGCTGAAATTAAACATGCACTTACTGTCCACGGATCTTGGACACATGCTCGGAGATGCAGGAGTGGATGTCACAGTTCTTCCTGTAAACGTCGGCGAGCAGCTCGCCGAAGTAGCGAGTGTCCAACCTCGTGGGCTGGGGCACTTCCCTCAGCTCGGTCTTCACCGCCGTCCTCGAGATCTTCTCTATCACCGGCGACGGCTTCTGCTGTATGATGTTGACAATCTCCACCTCTTCTACCTCCACTACCTCCTCCTCCTCTTCTTCCTCCTCCTCCTCTTCCTCCTGGAAGAACACGACAGAGACGACAGGTGTTATTGTTTCCAGTGTTAAATATAAATTAAAGTCAAAATTTCACCCAATGATCTATGCAATGCTGCACTAAAAATGTGTTATTTCAAATCTATGGACATTAATCAATGTGTGTTCAACATTTTATAAAAGCTCTCATCTCATTTACAGATTTACAGATGATATATAATACAAAATGTCATTCAGATGGCAGTGCGATGATGTGATGTTTCATCATTTGTATGATTCTCTAAAGAAATTAAATTTGGTGCAACAAGTAAATCCAGCATCCACAGCATCCTGCAAAACAGCTGCCAACATGTAGCAGACTAACTGGCACCTGCACTGAACAATTTAAATGTATTTTTTATGTTGCCTTATGTTTCTTTTACATTTTGTCTCAAACTGACTTCGACTGGACTAAACGCTCAACAAGAATAAACTTGCCTTTCTTGCATCTAAATATACACATTATTTAATTCTACAAAATAATTATCTTTGTTATTATTTTTCAATCATTTTACTACTATTAAAATTTGTTTGCATTCTATTTAGGTTATCTATCACAGTAACCATCATGTGCAGAATGATTTGACATACAGCATGCTATGATGCAAATCTCTTTATTTTTGTTGCACTGAATTTCTTTATAAGCAGGTTTTAAATCATCATTTTTATACTGTAGATATATTAGTGAGAGGTTAGACTTTTTGAAACCTACAACATTATGGTCTACAATAAAGTATACATCATAAACAAAACATGTAAAGTTACTGATATGCTGAAAGTGCACTATTGTCTTAAATATCATTGTAAGGTGTAGCATTAAGAATGTCCTCATATGTCATATGTCATATAGTTTACAATCATAATTTGGTGATAAATCTCCTCTAAGAGGCTCAGTGATAAAAACTGTGGTCCCAGGATCTCCGCACTGCAATCCGGCGCAGCCCACGCTGCACATACACGTGTTGTAAGCCAAACACACCCATCACCTCCTTTTATCTACATGTAGCAACAGAGTCGAGTCAAACAGTTGTTGCATAACCTGTTATCTGACACTGAGCTGCCCGCTGTGTGTACTCTTCACACAGAACAACACTTTTACTCTTTGCATACACCTGCCTGTCACACTCTTTGTATACCGACACAGGACAAACTTATGTTACTTATGTTCATCTTAGTCTTGTTTCAGATACTTTTCTTCTATCTTTATTTCCTACGATGAAAAAAATTGTTTTACATTTTAAACATAAATTTTTCTCAGATACTCCCACCACACCTTGAGTTCCACCTTATAGCAACAAGATGACCTCATCTCCAGCTTATCACCAGAGGGAAAGTCCTGAGTGAGCTAAAATCTGATACAGAGTAATGAATGAAGTTTGGCGCTTTTTTTTCTTTTGTGAAAGACAAGTTGCTTGTGTTTTTTGACAGCCCTGTGCTTGTCAATCAACACTTTTAGCCTCATTTAACGCTTGCGTCTTAAGGAGTTAAATGTATCCAAAAGGTGCAGCTGTTTAGGGTGTGCGACTACAACAATGCCTCGGGCCTGTACGACGCCCTCCCTACTATCCCTCCAAATGCTATAAATCATTAGTGTTGCTGGACTAGTTCTGAATATAACAATGGCTTTCTAATCAATTGCTTTGAGTCCATGATTTAATGATTTAATGATTTAATGATTTAATTTGTATGCCAAGTAGAGAAGCAGAGATCCTGTGTCCCACCAAGAGTCTGCCTTAACACAATGTCTTTTTTACATTATTCCAAACATGTATTTATGATTTATGATGCAGGTTTTCATGCCAATATTCTTTATTTTATGTAGATAGTAACGGTAACATTGTTATAATCTACTATTTAAGTTAAAGTTTCTCTACGGAACTAGTTTGCGAGTATAATCTTTTTCTTACTGCATGTAAAATGGCTGCCATTTTGCGTATAACTTCGGACATTAATCTGAAAATTAAATAATGTACAGTTTAACTCACACATCATGTAAAAAACTATATATACAGTGTATCAAGGAAGTTTGTGCAGGGGTATTATCGTTCTGAATAGAACAAGTCATCCAAACTAATGACAAGTTTGGGGTTTATCTTGGTTTCACCCCTGAAAAAGAGAAACAAGAGACACAAAGCGAGACAAGGATTTTCATGGTACTAGCGTGACATACTTAAGAAATGTCAAGTACATTTTATCCGATGTGACGCTTTCTTAAATAACAAACAAGCTGTGGCTGTGCACAGTGGTCTAGCCAGATTCCACATTAACCCAAGGGAATATTGGGAGCCAGAATTTCCCAGCAAGTGAAGTTTACACTATTGTGCCATTGGAGAACCACCAAGAACCACAAAGAGCCCTGCAGCACATCAATATCACGTTCAGCTTCTGTTCATTACACTCTGTGGTCATTTTTTGAGACTGTAGTCAGTGAAGGTGATGTAATGTATTACCATATTACCATATTGAGGTTTTTATTATTGTCTATACACAGTAACATACCACAGGGTTTAGTATATCAAAAACAACTCTAAAAAGCAGTAGCCAAAAATGCCAAATAGTTTGTGGTTCCAGCTTCTCCAATGTGCGTCTCAGCTCTGTATCATCTTTTCTCTTCGGAACTTGAAGATGTCACCTGTTTCCTCTAGGAAATTATTATAGTATTAGCACTATCATTACTTCATTAATTGTTGAGTAATCAGTAGGTGAAGCCTTACCCTATAACGTGACGCAATCAAGTGCAACACCTCCACAAACTACAAACCTCAAAAGTGACCAGCGAGTGGAGTCAACCCCTCTCTGACAGTGTCAACAAAAACGAACATTATAAGCTCCATATACTGGCTTTATAGCACAAGTGTTGTAACTGTAGTTTCGAGCATCAGAAAAAGAAACAGTTCAGATGCCAAAGTTCCCCATTTACGTTGTTTTGTAGTGTTTCTGAGTACCATGGCCTTTTGCACTTCCTGTAGCCACCACCCATGCAGCAGAACCAATAGGAGAATGATGAATAAAAATAATGTCATGACTATCAGGAAACACTGGCACAGGAAGGTTTTAGTATCGTTTTCATTTTTAAAAAGTGAAGGAAATACCACAGACAGGAAGAACAACAAGGGTAGTGAGGAGGCTAAAAGGCCTTAAAGATCACAGGTTAGATTTCACTGAACTCCAACAAGCTCAGTTATTGTGAACTGTGCCGTATAACAGGAACTGATAGTAACCGAGGCTGTTAGGAATTTGATTCCTGCTGAAAACCTATTATGTTGTTCAGGACAAATGCCAGGACAAATAGGTAAAACAAGTTTTTTTGGACTTTGTTCCTTGAAGGAAAAACTGTGTTCACTCTTCCAAAACCCGAATCAAAGCGGGTCTGACACAACTAAACACAGACATCATGCATGGACCCAAATTCAGTGAAAATTGTGGGCTTGCCACAAACAACATCCCTCAAAAGACGAACATATCTCGATGCTATCTTTAATTTTCGTTTCGTTTTAAAGTTCAAACATTTATACCCTGTAATACTGAATATTCTCATAATAAATGTGATAAAACATATCCATGTTACAGTGGATGAGCCACTGAAACGGCATAAAAACAAGAAATTGACTAAAAGTATATATTTTATACAATATAAATTGCACACCTGTGGAGTTACACTGATCAAGAGATCCAGATCTCCCAGTATTTGAACTTGACTTGGCACTGAAGCAAGGCACTCAAATGACACATAACTCTGGTATCTGACAGTGCAAGGTAGTAAAGTCTGACATCCATGTGAAACATGGAGAGTATGGTTTATGATCCAGCAGAGCTCAAAGGTCACGGCAAGACCGAAGGCGCTTTCAGGGCCATTATTTATGGTGTCACACATTAAATTCAAACAGAGGAGTTAAGGGTGCAACAGTATGGACAAGGAGGTTATGTATGTGATGTCTGTGATCACATGGAAGTGGGTGTGTCTCAGTGCTACAAGGCTGTGGCTGCCACAGTAACATGCCTGTCATTCCTGACAGAGAAAGTGAGAGTAGAGACACAGACGGACCTGAACCAGTCTGGACATAAGACAGGTCGAGGACAATAGGCTCGTTACCCCCAGGCATAGATACCAGTAGATATCAGTCCTCACGTTGAGATGACGCCGTTCATGACATTCATCCCAACTCAAGTACTATCGGTAATAAAAGTTTCTCCTGTAAGATTTTATGAATCTCTGAACTCGTACAGTCAGCTCCGTTTAAATTCATTTCTCAGCATGTTTGCAATTTATATAGTTCACTTTACTATGTGAATTAATTATATAAAAATATTCTTTTGGAACACTTCAAGAACTATGTGAAAATGATATAACAACACCGAATACGCTATAGAACCAACAAATTCTTCAAAGACTGTGCTGTTGCAACTTCACCAGTTAACAAAGTGTTCAAGTAACAAAGGACCAAATCTGTGTGTTTTACATAATGCGTAAATACACAAAAAATGGCTGAATATTTGTCAATGGCCGGCCTTTCCTTCCACACAGAAGCTTGTTTATAACCTGGAAGCAAGTAAAGTAGCTAAATAATAGGGTTTCATATTATGTAACTCTATAGTGCAATATCAGTATTAATTGTTATATTGTTAATTCAACTGAGAAACACCTAAAACCTGATTTAAAAAACTGAATATTTCTGTTATTCTAATTTAAATTTTTTCAATATAAACTCGCCATGAACATCAACAACAAATGTGAGGCAACAGCTAATAGAAATGTGTATGTAATGTTGACAGAAGGTGGCCCTAGAAGACAGCACACGGTGTGTCCAAAATAGAAGAGTACACCCTCTGGGAAGGAAGGAATGTGCTTTGAAACCTTTCAACTGCTGATCAACCAGTTACATTTTGCAGTTACTGGTGTTTGACTTAACATTTTGTCCGACCAAAGTTTAGGTCAATAGTGATAACTGGATGATAGTGCTAGAGGAAAGCCCCAAAATAATTAG